GGCTTTAATGCCATCTTCAATATCACCGATCTTCCATCTGTTCTCAGCCGTCAGCCGCGACCCTAGCAACCAGCAGCCCGTAGCTGTCACACGTTTCAACATGATGCACAGCTGCTTTTGAATGAATTGTTTCGTGTGACTGTGCAGACTGCCTTGCAATTCACAGTGTGCAACTTTGTGTGTCTTTTTGCTTACGGATGTGTAGTTTTGTTGATTTTCTGGTGGGGGTACCCCTTAGGCAATCGAGATCCTTGTGCTGTTGCTTAGGTCGATCCTGTTTCTCGACCCACATGTGAAGCATCTACAAAAGCTTGGAGCCACTGGCACAAAGCCTGGAGTGCGGTTGAACTTTGCGAAGAAGAACATTAGGTCATCGTGGCCGGACCAATTTGAGGCTTACGAGCTTGAGGGTTGCTGTCTGTCGCAGGGCAATTTTGAAGGGACTTTGATCCGTGCACCACTCCGTCAACCACATTCTGAGAGTGAGATCAAGCAGGATTCCATAGATGATGCAGCAATACAGAGAATTGTTGACCTTATGTCTCGTGAAGGACACTTGTGGATCTTGTTCTTGAAGAATGTTGCCACAATTGAGGTGGTTGATGTAGAAACTCAACAAGTCTTGTGCTGGCATCAGAGGCATCCACATGGGCGCACGCATGCTGTGGAAATCAGAAGCAAGTTGCACTCGGCAAGTGTGTCACAGGGCTTGGAAGAGCGCAAGACCTACCAACTCTCAAATGTTGCGGAGGTCAGTGTAGCCTTGCCACTCTCCCACGAAGAGCAAGGACGTGTTTTCAGCAGATTGCCGCTGGACATCAAGTCGGGGCTTGCAGCTCATGTGTCTGCTTTGTTCTGGACAAGTGCTGATCGAAGGTCAATCGTCCTTGATCTCCAAAAGGATTTGGAAGGCTGGGCCATGCAGAATCACCAGCACCTATCGAGCATTGCCCGATGTTTAGTGGCTTCCATTGCAAAGCTTGCGGCCTCAGAGAAAAAGGTCTTGCTGCAGTTCTTTCCGCAAGGTGAGAAGCCCAGTGCAGTGGCCGAGGTCTTGTATGACCTCTTCTACACAGAAGTTCTCCAACGATGTAAGGCTGCTGGTCAGGAAGAGCCTATTCTGTACTCCGTGTCAGGAAGTTGTGTGTCAGCAGCCTCAGGTCGTATCTTGCTGGTGAAGAGTGACCAATGGCCTTCGGCTTTGGCAAACCTGCGGGCCCCACTTGTGCGGGTGAATGATGATGTTTTCCATGGCCTTGCCGACAAGGATGGCATTTTTCAAGAGCTGTCGCCGGCAGAGGTTCGAAAATGGCTTCCCCAAGTTTCTCCTTCAGAGGACAGTCGTTGTGATGAGGAGCTTTTGGCTTTCTGCCTGGAAGACAAGCCTGCGCCTCAAGATTTGGCAGGATGTCCATTGGTCTTGACCTGTGATGGACAGGTCAAGCGATTTTCGGCAAAGGTTGAGGATCAGACTCCAAGCTTTGTTTGTTGTGCCAACAGAGAGGAATGGGCCTTGGCAAAGCATTTTGAGCAAGGTGCAGTTCTCAAGTTTGCTGACGGCCATCAACATCTTTATGAAGTGCTCCGAAGACATCCCCAGGTTCGGCCTGTGAATCTTGAGAGTGTGTCCAAGCTTGGAAAGCATGCCTCAAGCGAAGAGTTCATTCGATCTTTTTGGCAGTGGTTTGGCATCTTCGCGGCTAGAGAGGCAACAGTAAAGTTGCCAGACCCACCAGCACCAGGTCCAGATCATGTTCTCAACCATCTTCGTGTGCTCATCGCGACAGAAAAGGGTGAGCGACGGACGTTCCAATTGTTTGAAAGATGCCGGGCCTTGAGTCGTTCGAATCTACCCAGTGAGCTTGCTCAAGGGCTGGCAGCGTGCGGTGTCTTGCTGGTCTCTGAGGACGCAGGTCTTGGTGGCTCAGCCTGTCCTGCAACAAGTCCTGATGCCATCGCTCGTGCAGTTCTAGCAGCCATTCGAATGCAAGAGCAAGGGCTAAAGAAAGCCTTTGATCCATCAGCTGCAAAGCCAGAGGCTTGGAGATCTGTTGCGTCACAACTGGCCACATCGCAGCTGCCTGAAGCTTTGGATGCTGCTCGCTCTTTGCCCGCTTTTCGCATTTGGGGCAGAAGTGACCCATCGTTGCCATGCCAGAAGAAGATGTTTCCTTGTGGGGCGAGCAAGGCATTACGCGATGTTCTCCGGGAAGTTCGGCTGGACATATTGGATGAAGAGGACATGATGTTGGTGGAGTTGCTTCATAGAATGGGGGTGAAAGATATGCCGGTGCAGAACCTGGCAGAGGAAGCTTTGAGGCAGAGCAGTGATGTGAAGCTGATTGCCCAACTTGTTAAAGAAGACCTCGGCCAAGCTCTTGAGGGGAAGGGTGTCCTGCCAAGCACTTTGGGGAAATTGGCTCCTAAGGAGTGTTTGCTTTGGGACAAAGAGCTAGAATTTGATGTCCCCAGACGCATGAGCAAAGAAGCAGGAGCCTTTTTTGAAGGCTTGGAAGGAAAGCTCATCCAGCTTGGTTGCCGAACGGAGTTGGATCAGAGAGATGTGCTGGACTTGGCAGAGCAGATTCAGACTTCA